GAAATACCGAAAAACTAAAAATGGAGAAAAATTAATGAACTGAAAAAACTGTAAAAAAATCGAAAAATTATAGAATTGTCAAAATTGTAACATTGGAAGACAGAAAAAATTGAAACATTAAATATCGAGAAAGTGAAAAATTAAAAATCGAAAAATTGAAAATATTCTAAAATTGTAAAATTGAAAAAGTGAAAAATTTGAAAAATAATAATTATTAGGAACGAAAACTATAAAAATTGCAAATCAAACTCAAAATTCCAAAAACTGAAAAATTTCGCATTGAAAAAAAAACGAAAAATTGTAAAATCAGAACAGTGGAAATAGCAAAAATTAAAAAATAAAGAAAACGAAAAACCGAAACGAAAATTGAAGAAATGAAAAATTGAAGCATTAGAAATTGAGAACTCGTAAAACTGCAAATCTAAAAACTTCTAAAAGTTGAAAAATCAAAAAACTGAAGAATTTAAAGTGAAAGAAACTGGAAGAATTGAATATCGTAAAATTGAAGAAACCAAAACGACAAAAAAACCGGAAAATTATAAAAATAAAGTAAATAAAACACCGAAACCAAAATTGCAAACCGGAAATTTCAAAAAACGAAAAACTGAAGAATCGAAAAATATTGAAGAATAGAAAAATTAAAAATTAAGAGTCGAACAATTAAAGAGTCGAATCAGCGAAAAAGTTTTAAAACCCAATAATTGAAAAGTGGAAAAATTCTAAAATCGTGAATTTGAAAAGGTGAAATATTTTAAAAATTGTTATTATTATTATTTGCGATTTTGCTTTCTGATAACTCCTATAGTTTTTTAGCTTGAATTTTTCACTTCTTCAATTTTTATATTTTTTTTCTCCTGAAAACCGAAAAATTGTAAAATCAGAACATTAGAAATCCGAAAAATTAAAAAATAAAGAAAACGAAAAAGCGAAACGAAAAACTGAAGAAATGAAAATTGAAAAAATTGAAATTGAAAAAGCAAAAATTATATAATTGGAACACAAAAATTCCAAAAATTATAAAAATAAAGAAAATAAAACACCGAAACCAAAAATTGCAAACCGAAAATTCGAAAAAATGAAAAATTGAAGAATCGAAAAATTAAAATATTGAACAGAAAAATTAAAAATTAAAAATCGAAAAACTAAAATGTCGCATAAACGAAAAAGTTTTTAGACCCAAAAATTGAAAAATGGAAACATTCTAAAATCGTGAATTTGAAAAAGTGAAATATTTTAAAAATTGCTATTATTATTTGCGATTTTGCTTTCTGATAACCTGATAACTTCTAGCTTTTTTGACTTGAATTTTTTACTTTTTCAATTTTTAATTTTTTTGTTTCTTCTGAAAACCGAAAAAATTCAAATCGAAAAACTGAAAAATCCAAAAATTGAAATCTCGAATTGAAAAAAATTAAGAAAAATAGTAAAACCTGGAAATTGGAAATCCGAAAAATGAAAAAATAAAGAAAACGAAAAACCGAAACGAATAATTGAAGAAATGAAAAACTTAGATATTAACAATTGAAAACTCGTAAAATTGTAAATCGAAAAATGGCAAAATTTAAAAATTAAAACATCAAAAATTTGGAAAGTCCAAAAACTGAAAAATTTAAATGTGAAAGAAAACTGGAAGATTTGCAATATCGTGAAATTGAAGAAACAAAAATGACAAACTCAAAAATTGCAAGCCGAAAAATTGAAAAAATTGAAATTAAAAAAGAAAAAATTACATAATCGGAACACTGAAAATTCGAAAAATTATAAAAATAAAGAAAATAAAAGACCGAAAAATTGAAGAATCGAAAAATTAAAATATTACGGAACAGAAAAATTAAAAATCGAAAAACTAAAAAGTCGAATAAACGAAAAAGTTTTAAAACCCAATAATTAAAAAATGGAAAAATTTTAAAATCGTGAGTTTGAAAAAGTGAAATATTTTAAAAATTATTATTATTACATATTTAAAATGAAAACTACAGAAATTGCAAATCATGAATAGAAGAAGCGAAAAATTGAAAAAGGAGCAATTGACAAATTTAAAAATTGAAAAATTCAAAACCGAAAAATTGCAAATCGAAAAACTGAAAATCCACAAATTTAAAATTTTCATATTGAAAAGAGATAAATAATAAAATCAGGAAACGAAAAATTCAAAAAATAAAGGACCAAAAGGAAAAATTGAAGACGTGGAAATTTATAAAATATCGAAAAATTGAAAAATTGCAAATTGAAAACTTGTAAAATTGCATATCGAAAAATTGCAAAATCTAAAAACTGAAACATCGAAAAGTTGGAAAATCGAAAAACCGAAAAATTTAAAAATGAAAGCTCGAAGAATTGCATATCGTGGAATTGAAGAAACAAAAAATTATAAAATCGAAAAACTGAAAGATCGAAAAATAAACATAAAAATCGAAAAACTGAGGAATCGAATAAATGAAATAGTTTTGAAATCCAATAATTGAAAAATTGAAAAATTCTATCTGAAACCGAAAAAGTGAAATATTTTTAAAATTATTATTATTACAATACATATTTAAAATAAAAACTAGAAATATTGCAAACCAAAAATTGAATAAACGAAAAATTGAAAAATTCATTAAACTAAAAAATCTAAAATTGAAAAAACGAACAATAAAAAATCTGAAAGTTGAAAAATTAAAAATCGAATAATTGAAAAAATAAAAAAAATAAAAAACCGAAACGGGAAACTGTGAATCGGCAAATTGAAGACATGGAAAAACTGAACTATTAAAAATTGAAAATTCGTGAAACGCCAAATCGAGAAATTCCAAAATCTGAAAATTCAAACATCCCAAAGTTGGAAAAAAACGAAAAATTTAAAAATTTAAAAATGGAAACTCCATGAGTTGCAATCGTAAAATTGAAAAAAACAAAAAAAAATTAAAAAATGCAAATCGAAAAATTGAAGAAACGAAAAAATTATAAAATCGAAACAAAAAATTGCAAATTGCAGAACTGAAAAATTTATACTTAAAAATTCGAAAAATTGCGGATCGAAGAATTGGAGTGAAGAAACAAAAAAAAATAATACAAATTGAAGAAGTGAAAAATTCAAGTTAAAAAAGCTACAGAAGTTATCAGAAAGCAAAATCGCAAACAATTTTTATAGTTTTTCAAAGAAACAGGATTTATTTATTGGAAACAGAAATTCTGTCAAAACAATCAAGTGGCAGCAATAAATTTTCAGAATTTGAATAAAGACAACCTGAAAACTTTACTGTGTGTAACTTATACGGCATCATGAAAAAACGAACAGTCAATAAATTGGTTCCCTCGCTCAAAACGGGCCGACTACATTTAACTTTTATAACGACTACGACCGGTACAAATAGACAAAGAAAACGTAAACAGACAGCGACACAACTCGGAAGCAAAGTTAATATTAACGACGAAATTTTTCACCTGGAAAACTCAATCATCTCCAAGGAGCCCGCCATTTCCAGAAGCACGAAAATTAAAGGTTGGATGACCTTTGAAACTATATCAAAGTTGCACTCGCGCCCATTAAATGAAAGTCTATTCAAAGCTATAGCTGCTCCCGAGCAGTTAATTTCGTCTTAATAACATAAATGTCAACTTTAAAACTAGAAAGTTCCTATTATGAAATTGGAAATTCGCTTCGTTAGAGTCAAATTACCCTCGATTACCTGCCAGTTATAACCCAGAAACAAATCCCCGCAAGAAAAATCCGACGCATCAACCACGATTATTACCATTTCTGCGCTCGACAGGGGCAGCAATTAGACGAATATTAAAAACCCCGACGTAATTCCGAACCTGCTTTCGCTCGAGAAATCAAAGGAAGCATCTGTAAGCAATAAAAACACGCTCAAGTTCGCGTTTTGCGAATTCTTTGCGTCATTTCGACAAATGCCGTTTAATCTCTCGCGGAGCACAGCTTCGACTGTATTTATTTTTTGCGCCCCGTCCTCGGGCCGGGCTTAATTCGGCCGCAACAAAGAAATAATAATGGCGCATGTTTTCGTGAAAAATTTACTGCGAGGGGAGTTCACCAAGGGAGAATGTTTTCATAAGAAAATTCGCCTCCCCGAAGGATCCTATTAGAAAATCAATCACTTTCATCTTTCTATAAAGTCAGTAAACGTAAACGGGTATCGCATTCCACTAAAATGCCCTTTCTTCCCCGCAGTTTCCAGTTTCAATGGATGCCTGCAGATGAGAGCCGCGCTAATATTTCACCGATTTGCCGCAGACGGGCATTTTGCACTTTAAATGCTCCCTGGAATTACCGAAGTTGTGGAATTCGTTGCGTTTTGCGTTATTTCGCTCGATGAAAATACAAACACGGCAATGTGGAACGAAACGGGAAATTCGGGACCGAAATCTTACTAAAAACTGGCAATTTTTGCTTTTATGTTTGTCATTTTTTGACATTTATCACTGTGGTCTATTCACAGACAACAGTAAATTAATGTAGTAAATGTTATTTAAATTTTATAAAACAACATACTCTTTCTTAAGATTCTTTGAAACTCCTTCAAAAACAATAATCAAGAGTCCTCGAGATTTTTTTTTATTTTTTTCAAAAATGAGACACCATAATCTTCGAAGATTCTTTCAAATTCTTTCGAAAACAAAACACCATGCCTCCTCAGAGTCTTTTCAAAGTCTTTTAAAAACAAAATACATACATGAAAATAATTTGATGATTACGAAAGATTAACGTTTTTTTTTTACTTCCCGAGCGTAAGCTAATAAGCAAGTATAGTAAACGACTCGATGGGACGAATCACCACTTTTATATTTTCTCGACGTTTCATGGCCCCTAGAGTACGAAAAAAGTAGTCTCTCGTTTCCGTCTGTCTATCTGTCTGTCTGTCTGCATTCATTTTTATCAGACATGTAATCTCCGAAACTGCTGGACCCATTGTTGTCAAATTTTGTGTGTACATTAGGAATATCATGAATTCTATGTTTATTTGATTTAACTTGAAGGTAAGCGAAGAATAATGTAGCTGCTCCGGTGGGAATCGAACCACACGTTTCCCGCTTGCCAGGCGGGTGCCCTGACCACTAGACTACAGAGCGGCTTATCTTTCTTCGTTTATCAACGTGTTATTGTGCCGACACAGATATATAGTCCTATAAGGGTGATGGACGAATTCGCTTTGAATTTTTCTCTGACCGTCTAAATTTTTATAAAAACATAATTCACGGTATATTAACAGTTTACCATTAGCGTAAGGCATCCGCGGGTTCGCTTCCAAACTTGGCCTTTTGTTTTTTTTTCTTTTTCTTTCGCATTGTGTATTATTATTATCTATGTTTATGACGTCATAACAAATTTTTTATTGATGAAATTACCCCACTTTTTCGAAAAGGTGAGAATACGCCCCTCTTTATTTAAAATGTAATTTAAAAATGTAAAACCTTCTCAGAGGCGCCAAATCTCCTTTTTTTATTGTGAAACTTTCTCGGAGGTCCCAAATGTCTTTTTTTAAAATGTAAAACCTTCTCGAGGGCCTCAAATGTATTTTTTTAAGAATGTAAAACCTTCTCGGGGGCCCCAAATATCTTTTTTAAAAATGTAAAACCTTTTTAGGAACGCCAAATGATTTTTTTTATTATGCAAAACCTTCTCGGGGACGTCAAATGTTTTTTTAAGAGTGTGAAACCTTCTGGGAGGTCCCAACTGTCTTTTTTTAAAATGTAAAACCTTCTCGAGGGCCCCAAATGTATTTTTTTAAGAATGTAAAACCTTCTCTGGGGCCCCAAATATCTTTTTTAAAAATGTAAAACCTTTTCAGGAGCGGTAATGTTTTTTTTTTATTATGTGAAACTTTCTGGGGGTCCCAACTGTCTTTTTTTAAATATTAAACCTTCTCTGGGCCGTCAAATGTCTTTTTTATAATGTAAAACCTTCTCGAGGGCCCCAAAGGTATTTTTTTAAGAATGTAAAACCTTCCCGGGGACCCCAAATATCTTTTTTAAAAATGTAAAACCTTTTCAGGAGCGCCAAATGTTTTTTTTATTATATGAAACCTTCTCGGGGGTCCCAACTGTCTTTTTTATAATGTGAAACTTTGTCGGGGGTCCCAACTGTATTTTTTTTATGTGAAACATTCTCGGGGGTCCCAACTGTCTTTTTGTTAAAATGTAAAACCTTCTCGGGAGTCCCAACTGTCTTTTTTATAATGTGAAACTTTGTCGGGGGTCCCAACTGTATTTTTTTTATGTGAAACATTCTCGGGGGTCCCAACTGTCTTTTTGTTAAAATGTAAAACCTTCTCGGGAGTCCCAACTGTCTTTTTTTAAATGTAAAACCTTCTCGGGGCCGTCAAATGTCTTTTTTTTAATGTAAAACCTTCTCGAGGGCCCCAAATGTATATTTTTAAGAATGTAAAACCTTCTCGGGGGCCCCAAATATCTTTTTTAAAAATGTAAAACCTTTTCAGGAGCGCCAAATGTTTTTTTTTATTATGTGAAACCTTCTCGGGGGTCCCAACTGTCTTTTTTATAATGTGAAACTTTGTCGGGGGTCCCAACTGTATTTTTTTTATGTGAAACATTCTCGGGGGTCCCAACTGTCTTTTTGTTAAAATGTAAAACCTTCTCGGGAGTTCCAACTGTCTTTTTTTAAATGTAAAACCTTCTCGAGGGCCCCAAATGTATTTTTTTAAGAATGTAAAACCTTCTCGGGGGCCCCAAATACCTTTTTTAAAAATGTAAAACCTTTTCAGGAGCGCCAAATGTTTTTTTTTATTATGTGAAACCTTCTCGGGGGTCCCAACTGTCTTTTGTAAAATGTAAAACCTTCTCGGGGCCGTCAAATGTCTTTTTTTTAATGTAAAACCTTCTCGAGGGCCCCAAATGTATTTTTTTAAGAATGTAAAACCTTCTCGGGGGCCCCAAATACCTTTTTTAAAAATGTAAAACCTTTTCAGGAGCGCCAAATGTTTTTTTTTATTATGTGAAACCTTCTCGGGGGTCCCAACTGTCTTTTTTATAATGTGAAACTTTGTCGGGGGTCCCAACTGTATTTTTTTTTATGTGAAACCTTCTCGGGGGCGTCAAATATTTTTTTTTAGAGTCTCCTAAGATTTTTTTCAAATCCATTAAAAAACTAAAAACAAGTCACCACAAAGATTCTTTCTAATATAAAGCACCAAGATTCTTTCAAATTCTTTCACAAACAAAACGCCAGTCTTCCCCAGGACGTTTTCAAATTCGTCCCGGATTTTTTCAAATTATTTCAATAAAAAAATACAAGGAAACCTGAAAATTCTTTTATATTCTTAAAAAAATGCAGACGAAGTGCTTCTTTCAAAAACAAAACACCTCCAAGATTACTTCAAATATTTCCAAAAACTAACAGGAGATAATAAAAATTGTTTCTAAAATAAAACACCAAGATCTTTTCAAACTGCTTCGAAAACCAAACGCCAGGCCTTCTCAGGATTTTTTCGAATTCTTCTCAGATTTTTTCAAATTATTTCAATAAGAAAATACAAGCAAACCGGGAAATTTTTTCACATTCTTAAAAAAGATACTACGATTCTTTAAACTCCTCTAAAATTAATCGAAGGTCTGCGAGATTTTTTTTTCCAATTTTTCCAAAAATGACACATTAGGGTCTCCTAAGATTTTTTCAAATTCTTTAACAAACTAAAAACAAGCGACCACAAAGATTATTTTTAAAATAAAGCCACAAGATTCTTTTAAATTCTTTCTTAAACAAAACACCAGACTTCTCCAGGATCTTTTCAAATTCGTCCTTGATTTTTCCAATTCTTTCGATTAAAAAATACAAGGAAACCTGAAAATTCTTTCAAATTCTTAAAGAAATGGAGACTAGGTGCTTCTACCATTCTTTCAAACTCCTTCAACACCATCATCATGGGTCCGCGAGATTTTTTTCAAATTTTTGCAAAAATGAGACACCAGTGTTTCGTAGATTCTTTCAAATTCTTTCAAAAACAAAACACCTGAAGCCTCCAAGATTACTCCACATTTTTCCAAAAACTAAAAACGAGGGATCAGAAAGATTGTTTCTAAAATAAAACACCAAGGTCTTTTCAAACTGCTTCAAAAACCAAACGCTACCCCTTCTCAGGATCTTTTCAAATTCTTCTAAGATTTTTTCAATTTTTTTCAATAAGTAAATACAAGCAAACCGGGAGATTTTTTCACATTCTTAAAAAAATAGACTTCGATTCTTTAAATTCCTCTAAAATTAATCAAGGGTTTGCGAGATTTTTTTTTCAATTTTTCCAAAAATGAAACGCTAGGGTCTCCTAAGATTTTTTCAAATTCTTTAACAAACTCAAAAAAAAGACCACAGATTCTTTTTAAAATAAAGCCACAAGATGCTTTTAAATTCTTTCGCAAACAAAACACCAGACTTCTCCAGGATCTTTTCAAATTCGTCCTTAATTTTTCCAATTCTTTCAATAAAAAAATACAAGGAAACCTGAAAATTCTTTCAAACTCCTTTAAAAACAAGCATCAAGGGTCCGCGAGATTTTTTTCAAATTTTTTCAAAAATGAGACACCAGTGATTACTAAGATTCTTTCAAATTCTTTCAAAAACAAAACACCTGAAGCCTCCAAGATTGCTTCAAATTTTTCCAAAAACTAAAAACCGTGGGTCAGAAAGATTGTTTCTAAAATAAAACACCAAGATTCTTTCAAATTCGGCGACAAACAAAACAGCAGACCAGAGGGTCTTTTCAAATTCTTCCCAGATTTTTCCAAATTCTTTCAGAAACAAAATGCAAAGAACCTTCCAAATTATCTTGTATTAAAAAAAAAAGGAAACTAGAATTCAAATTCATTCAAATTCTTTTGAAGACAAAACACCAGAAGCCCTCAAGATATTTTCAATTTTTTTCAAAAACTAAAAACAAGGGCATTTTTTTTTTTAATAAAAAATTAAAATTCTTTCGAAAACAGAATACACGAAATCCCAAGATTCTTTCACGTTCTTAAGAAAAAGAAGACTCGGTCCTCCTGCGATTCTTTTAAAATCTGTGTGGGCGCTAATTAAACGGTCGTCACAAAATTCTCTTAGAAAGTTCAAACTTGTTTGGACTGTATGAGCTGTTGCGCCATCATGCTGAAAACACCCATTCATCATAAATCTCAAACGTATAAAAATGGCATGAACTGGTATTGGCTTTGCCCCGACTTCCCCTACACCTCCAGGTATTGCGGTCGACCCGATACGATTAAGCGTGCTTATTGGCTCTATAATTAAATTTACTTGTCATTTTAAGCGGCCCAGCGCCGATTTATAGTCCTCTCTTAATAATCACTTATCTGAAGTTAATTTATAGATGGTAATTTTATAGACGAATAGCAATTACGCGGACGCGGTCAAAGCAAACATCTTCTTCGTCGTAAATTACTGGAACGAAGAGAATTTGAAAAAAGTGTGAAGCTATAACGTTTTATGTGCAGTAAAAGTGGCATCCTTGTCATTTTTTATTTAGTTTTATGTGGAAATAGGCTGCCGAGTTTGCACATAGGCGTCGCTTCTTTGCTAAATACCGATCTCGAAGATGCTTTATATTCGAGGGCGACTATCGCATTTGCATTTTATAATATTAAAACCCTGACATTTCTACCCGTAATTGGATTTAATTGAAGACGGCTTAATGCTTTCACCTTCAAGGATATTAATATTTTAAGAATCATCTATTATTTGGACGTTAAGTCCTTGTGTTAATGGAAAGGCTCGTGATGGGAATGAAAGATTCAAAACGAGACGATACGATCTTTTGTTTTGGTAGGTCGCAGTGGACGTAAAAGCGTCCGGACGGGTCCATTATTACGAATTTATTTTTTTATCTGTTAAAATGTTACCCAGGGACGGATGGGTCGAGTCTATGGCTGGACAAATACTTAACTGTACTTAATTCGGTCGCCTCTCTTTTTTTCGACGAATATTTATATAATTACCAGTTCCTCTCCGAATTCTTATTAAAAATATAATGCCCATCCTACATCATCGCGCAACTATTTTTAACGAGGTGTTCTTAACGGTCCAATCCGATAATTCCTGCGAGTACCTAATTGATCAAGATTAT